TCCATATATTAGATTACTTAGATTTGAATCTATCGAGTTCATTTTGTATTGCGTATATATGACCTCTTTATTTTGATGATTAATAATACAATTTTATTATTTTCTCCCAAAAATTTCTAACAAAATTAATGTGTGATATTATTTTTCAAAATAGCAAAAAGTAATATAAGATGAGGAATGAAAAAGAAACGGCCATGTGGACGCGATAGGTGAGATGAAAAGAATAGTATTTTATACTCTCTCCGTCCCAAACACCCTGCAATATTCCCTTTTTGGTACGTCCCAAATACCCTACAACATTTCCAAAATAGGAAATAATTAATTATACTTAATCTCTATTCCACACTTTATCCACTCACATCATCCAAATAAAAAAATAAAATATATATTTCTCTCTCCATCACATCACATAATTTCTAAATTATCCTACTTAATACTACCCACCTAAAAACCCGTGCCAAAACTAAATGTTTCACCATGTTTGGGACGGAGGGAGTACTATTTTATTACATTCAAATTATATTATGAACCAAATCTTCTAAAAAAATGTTTGTATTTTGTATATTTTAAACAACATTTTAATTCATAAATAAAAAAATTTAAAAACAAAAAAATTATACTTCCTCCGTCCCCGTAGATTATGCACTTTCTTTTCGGCACGGTTATTAAAAAAATGTGTATTATAAAGTTAATTGTGTTTAGTTTAGTTGATTTGATAGTTGTATTAGAGTGAAATGTAGTTACTTATTTATTTAATATTTTATGAATAAAATAAGGGTAAACTGTTTTTTTAGTCCCGTAATTGGACCCCTTATCATTTTAGTCCTGTAAGTGGAGTCTGTCGCAAACTAGTCCCATAAGTGAAAAATTTTCGTTGTTTTAGTCCTCCGGCGCCGGAGACGCACGCGTGGCTCGCCGGAGGTGACGTGTCCGCCAGGTCAGCGACACCTGGCGGACACGTGGATTTTTTTTTTAATTTTTTTTAAAACTTATTTTTCATTTATTTTTAATTTTATTTGCATTTTTTTATTTGGTCCAATTAAAAAAAATTTAAAAAATTAAAAATAAATGAAAATAAATAAATAAATTCACGTGTCCGCCAGGTGTCGCTGACCTGGCGGGACACCTGGCGGACACGTCACCTCCGGCGAGCCACGCGAGCGTCTCCGGCGCCGGAGGACTAAAACAGCGAAAAGTTTTCACTTATGGGACTAGTTTGCGACAGGCTCCACTTACGGAACTAAAATGATAAGGAGTCCAGTTACGGGACTAAAAAAAGAGTTTACCCATAAAATAAATATTAAATAATTTTGGCATAAATATTTTTTGTATTTAGACAAATAATTTATATAAATATTTGTAATAATACTATTTAAAAAAATAATTTAAGTTATTTATAACAAATTATTTGTAATTATTTCAAATATAAATTAAAAATTTTGTTTGGTTGAATTCACCCAAAAAAATTTACTATTCAAACTTTAAACTTTAAATCAAACACGTTGTTGGAGTTTATTTATATAATTTTTCCACCTAAAAATATTAAATTAAACTTTTAACTTTTATTTTTTCTATTATATTATAAATAAATTTCATAGGAAAAATATCACTTGATTACCTAGTGATTACTCAAATTAAAATTTTTTACTATCAATATTCAAATTCGAAATCCAAACCTCAACAAAATGTATTGTTAAGGTTATTTACTGAATTTTCTTTGAAAAAAAATCAAACTCTAATATTATATTAAAAATCAATTTTCTATTAAAAATATTACATCAATAGCTATTTAGATAATATAAAAAAATTATTTAAATTTAAAACTCTTACTATTCAAATTCAAATATAAAATCTAAACCTCAAACAAAATGCACCGTTAGAATTTTTTTCACCGATTTTTTTTCTACCAAAAATATCAAATCAACTTTTTATTTTTTACTTTTTTATTTTTATATTACACGAAAAATCAATTTTAAGTTTAAAATATTGTATTAATACATATTTATATTGAATAAATAAACTATATAAATTGACACAAATTCAAAATCCAAATCTCAAACCAAATACATCATTAAAATTTATTAATTAGAAAATATTTTTTTAAAAACATATTAAATTAAAATTATTTTTATTTTTTAAAATGTTCAACTACATCCAACCTAAGTTCGATTTTTTATATCATGCCCGAGTTAAGTTTTTGAATTTTTGGGTCATGTTTATTTTTATCAGTTTTAATTAAACGTAATTAAAATTAAAATTTTGAAAGAATTGTGAGTAAAAAATTAAATAGATTAATTTGAATTAGTTAAGATTTAATTGTAATTAAAATTTTGTTAATGTTACTTTTTTTTGGAAAGTGACATAATTGAATGGAAAAAAAAAATGTGACATAATTAAGTGGGATGGAAGTAGTATTTTATATATATATATATATATATATATAAAAGAAAAGCCCGAGAAACCTAAAAACAAAGACATAAAAAACTACAATTTTCTTGAATTTATAGGTGTTAGATGTTAGAAGAAAATTATTATCAAATATGAAATTGAAGTTTGTCTTTATTTATTTGATGTGGTAACACTTGATATTGATAATGTATTTCATAAAATACTATTGAAAGTAAAAATATATGGGTATAGTAAAATTAATAAGTTTAAAATTATCTTAAAATGAAATACTATCTCCATTCGAATGTAACATGGTAATTATTTGCTATTTTATAATAGATTAAAAATAATAGTAATAATTTTTGTTAGTAGAAATATGTAAGAAAATTATAATATATTTGTTATTTATATTTTATATATAAATTAATTATATGTGTAATAGTATATTTATTATTCACGTAAAAATTAAAAATATTTTATCCTTTAACATATAATTTTTTCTATTTTTATAAAAAAAATAATTTTAAATGTTACAGATGAAAAATCTTCATTTTTTTATATATAAAAAAATATTTTTAAATTTATGAAGCTACTAAAATCTTTAAAAAATAAACATAAATCAATAAACAAAAATTGAATAGTATATTTGAAATAAATGAGAAATATTCATATACTTTCTCATTCTCATTTCAATGAGATCTTTTGAGGTTTTGTAATAAATTAAAAAATAATAGCATTTTATTGGTTAGTGGAAGTGTGTAAATTTTTTTGACATTTTTGTCATTTGATTTTATATATAGAATAATTGTATGTGTAATGATATACTTGTAATTTAAATAAAAGTCAAATGATATTTAGTACTCCCTCCGCCCCAAACAAGGTGCAACATTTGTTTTGGGCACAGGTTTTTAAGTGTGTAGTATTAAGTAATATAATTTAGAAATTAGGTGATATGATGGAGAGAGAAATGTATATTTTATTTTTTTATTTGGATAATGTGATGAGATAAAGTGTGGGGTAGAGATTAAGTATAATTAATTATTTCTTATTTTAGAAATATTGCAGGATGTTTGGGACATACCAAAAAAGAAATGTTGCACTGTGTTTGGGACGGATGGAATATTAGAATATGATTATTTTTCTAAAATAAAAAATAAATACTTTGAGGTGAGACAAACAAAAATAGTAAAAAGAATATTTTGAATTAGAACGAAGGGAATATATTATTAATATTGTAATTTTTTTCGTTGATTACACCGTACATAGCACAGGTATTCCGGCTAGTAAACTAAAAGAGTACATATGTGGGTATATGTGGGTCTATATTTTTGTAATAGCCAATCAAATTCAATAACCAATGAAAATTAAAGAAAAAAAATTCAAAATTCCTAATCTTGCTTTACTTGAGTTCAAATATATATATATATATATATAATTTACTAATCTAAATTATCTAAAATAGAGGGTCGCTAACGAAAAAATTCATCTATGGAGAGAGAGAGTATAAACTTGAGGGAGTTTAAACTTTAATGTTAAAAATCATAACCAAAATAAATTAGAAATACTAACAACTTAACTCATATTTTTGGGTGAACGATTTTTGTAAATATTATTAAAAAAATATATTTTTTTTCGTCCCAAAATAATAGAGATATTTGAAATGAGCACGTAATTAAATAATAATAATATTATATTAATAGTGAGTGTAAATATATTTTTAAAAGACCAAAATACTCTTACTTTATATAATTGGTGTGAAAAAGTGATGATAGTTCTTTTAAAAAAATGGAGAATTAACTACCAAAAATAAAAATGAGGCTATTATTTTAGATCAGACAAAAATGACAAAATAAAACTATTATTTTAAAATAAAAAGAATAATATACATACATTATTACAATATATATAATATATATTTTATTCATTTATAAAAAATTAATAATTTAATATAAAATACTTCCTCTACGGTAAAAAAAATACTAGTAAAAGACTTTTTTGCCATTGTGAGTGTATTAGTGTAAAAAGTAGTGGCAATTGTGTAATAATAACAATGAAAAAGTAAGCATAGTTTTACAGTGATATAGTTATTTATGAAAATGAGACTATTATTTTGGAACGAACAAAAATAGTAAACAAAACTATTGTATCGGGACGGATGAAGTATTATTTTTTATATTAGTGTACAATATTTTTATATAAAAACATAAAGTAAACAAAATCATCTTTTACCGTAATAACGTAAAGTAAACAAACCCATTAATTTGTTGTTTTTTATATGTATAATCATTATGAACACGTAGAGAAGGAATTGTTCCATTAATAATCCTAAGGTGAGAAGACAAGGATTTTCTCCAACCTTGAATTCATTTTCTATGTTCTATAATTAATTCTTACAACTATAAAACCTGTCAGCCCACCATTCCCATTGCCCCTTTCTTTTTCTCATCTCTTCTACCCCAAACATAAATTCAATTTTCTTCTCTTGCCCCATCTCAACGTTCCAAAATATACATACACATATCTGTATCTATATAATGTTCTTCTCCTGCTCTCTCTCATCTCCTCCGCCGGAATTCTGACAATTTTCGCGAATCGTCTCGCCGGACTCGACGATGGGTCGTCGTAATATCCGCGTATCCATCGTCAAACCCGACCTCAACTCCTTATCCACGTCAAGTCCGCGGCGGTCCGCCGCCGGCGACAATCCGACGGCGGAGCCGGTCCTGGCGTCGCCGTTTGGCGAGATCGCCGGCCTCGACCGGGACGATTTCCGGGAGGTCGCATACGAGGTTTTCTTCACGGCCTGCCGGTCGTCGCCGGGATTCAGCGGAAGGACAGCCGCCGCGGCGAGCCACAGCGGTGGCTCCGACAGCGATGGGCCGGGGTCGCCGGCTGCTAAAATGCACGGCGTGGGGATGGCGGTGAGGAGCCGAGTGAAGACGGCGCTGGGGCTAAAAATGATGAAGCGGTCTTTGTCAATGTCGTCGTCATCGTCGTCGTCGTTGTTGTTGAGACGGGTGAGCTCGTCGGGGATGTTGAACCCGTCGTCGCCGACGGCGGCGGGGTCGAGCCCGAGATTGGGGTCGACGGTGCCGGCGGCGGGGGTTCGGCTGAAGAGGCCGATGACGTCGGCAGAGATAATGCGGCAGCAGATGAGGGTGACGGAGCAGAGCGACAATAGGCTACGGAAGACTCTCACCAGAACCCTCGTTGGCCAAGTAAGTCATAATTAAGAAATGTACTCCATTAAAATAGTTAAGGTACAATATAATTAATTATAAATTAAAACAAAAAATTATAAAAAATTTAAACGATAATTAAAATATATGATTTTTTTTAAAAAAAATATATGATAGGACTGAAATAATAACAAAGATAGAAAATATGAGAGTGAAAATATTATTTTTAATTTGGAACAAACCAAAGTATTTGAAGGTTTCATTATTTATACTCATTTTTTTCGCTTATAAATACAATTTATAAGATAATTTTAAACAAAAAAATAATGACAAAATCATAAAATAGTTATTAAAGTTATACCATTTAAAAAGTTATCTACATACTAAAATTATGAAAGGGATACACTGTTGAATTTAATCGTAATGCATTAACAAATAATATATGATATTATTATTGACAACATATTATTTTTATTATGATATAATCACATAACTTATGTAAATAGAGTCTTCTTCTTTCTTTTTTTTGTTTCAAAAAAATATATTAAATTAAATATTTATTTTTAAGATAAATAGTTAACTAATACCTAAGTGAATCTAATGTAATTTCTAAATAATAAAGGATTTCCTAAAATTTTCATAAATCACGGGTGAATTCTATATTATTTTTATATAAAATATTGTGTATATTGTATCTCTCTTTATCTAAATGTGAGTTATTTAGATAAAGAGAGATACAAGGGCTTGGTAAATTGCTAATTCTATTTGTAAATGAAAAGTGAGACTATTTAAGTACACATTTCTCGGAAAAATATTACCTAAAAAAAACGTTGGAAAAGGCTAAAGCAAGAACGTTGGATGTGTTATGCAGATGGGGAGACGTGCAGAGACAATAATCCTTCCACTGGAGCTCTTACGCCATGTAAAACCATCGGAGTTCACAGACCCTCAAGACTACCACCAATGGCAGCGCCGCCAGCTCCGCCTCCTCCACGCCGGCCTTCTACTCCACCCCTCAATTCCCCTCCCCAAGTCCAACCCCCACGCGGCCAAGCTCCGTGAAATCCTCCGCTCCTCCGAGGCCAAGCCCATCGACCGAGCCCCGCACTCCCGGACCCTCAAGGCCCTCTGCGACTGCGTCGCCGCCCTCGCCTGCCGCGGCCCCGACGACGCCGCCGACGCCTGCCGCTGGGCCGACGGCTACCCCCTCAACGTGCACATCTACATGGCGCTCCTCCGCGCCGTGTTCGACGCCAAGGACGAGACCTCGGTCCTCGACGAGGTCGACGAGCTGCTCGAGCTCATGAAGAAGACGTGGTCGACGTTGGGGTTCACACGTGCCATGCACAACTTGTGCTTTGCTTGGGTGCTTTTCGAGCAGTTTGTCGCGACCGGACAGGGCGAGCCGGACCTCCTTGGCGCGGCCTTTGTGATGCTCAAGGAAGTGGAGAATGACGCGAAGAATAAGGCGGATCGGGAGCCGGTTTATATGAAGATGTTGGGCGGCGTTCTGGCGGTGATGAGGCGGTGGTCGGAGAGCCGGTTGCTCGACTACCACTCGAATTTTAATCGGGATACCATCGGGATCATGGAGAATATGCTTCCTTTGCTTTCGTGGTCTTCCAAGATTTTGGAGGAGGATGTTCCTCTTTATGTTGTCTCGTCACCGGAGAACGGGGAAGAGAGCGACGATGTTGCCGGAAATCGGGTCGATCATTGCATTAGATCGTCGTTGAGGAATGCGTTCGCGAAGGTTCGTTCTTCTTGATTCCTAATTTTAATCCCTTTACTTTTAGATCGATAGTTTTTTAAAAATAGATAGTTTTTAGGTTTAAAGAAGACTAACAATAACAATAAAAATTGCATTGTTAGGCCGCTGTTACTATGCTAGAATTATAAAATTTAAGGCATTGCTAGTAGCACATAATATAGGAGTAGACAATACATGATAACATTTACTCTATCCGTCATGCAAATACGAATTTTAATAAAATTGAATAATAATTGTTAATTTTTTTATAGTAAAAAAAAAATTACAAACATTTAATAATTTTGTACTTTAAAAAAAATCAAATAAAAATAATTTTATCCTTACTTTTTCATGATAATATGATGATAAAAAGAGGTATTTCAAAAAAAAAGTGTAAGTGTATAATTACTAAAAAATAAAATAATTACTTCTTAATTGAACAATTCAAATTAAAAATATGTATATTTGTGAGTGGACGAAAGAAAAAATATATAATTTATATCAACATAAAATGTAGCACATAATACAATCCCGCTAAATATATTCTCATTAATTTTAGCACAAGATATATATTCATACAACACATCTATAATTAAAAATTTAAAAAGATGTATTGTTTGTTTGTTTTATATGTGATGACGGGCAATCAATATAATATTGATTTGACCTAATCATCACCGTAACTATTCCTACATTTTTAATATGGTTTTGGTGTCGGAAGATCCTCGAGGAACAAAATGGGAACCGGGCAAAGAACAATGACACGAAAGTGACGAGCGAGATACTAATGAAAATGGCGGCAAAGACCGAAGAACTCGCCGGCAAGGAGAGTGACATTTTCAGCCATGTCCTAAAGAAATGGAGCCCGTCAGCATTGAGCGTCGCAACCGTGACATTACACACGTGCTACGGGATCGTGTTGAAGCAATTCCTCGCCGGCAAAACATGGCAAATGCATGAAATACTCTCGGTGCTGCAAAGGACCGACATGCTCGAGAAGGCGTTGGTGGAAATGGCCATCGAGGATTCGAAAGAGTGCGATGACGGGGGCAAGGTGCTCGCAACGCAGATGGTTCCTTACGAAGTCGATTCGATCGTAACAAGACTATTGAAACAGTGGGTTCTAGAGAGGCAGCACAAGGGAAAGGAGCTTTTGCATAGAGCAAAGCAAACAGAAGTAGGTGTCCCTTTGTTACATTACACATTAGAGGTTCCTACCTAGTACTTTTGATGTTTGTACTAAGATGTTGTGTTTGGTGTTGCAAGACTTGGAATCCGAGGTCGAAAACCGAGCCCTATGCGCACTCCGCCGTGGAGCTCCTCTCCTTCGCCAAGGAAGCCGTTGACAACTTCTTTCAACTCGCGGTGAATGTGTCCGAGAATCAATTCTACGACTTCATCGACGGTTTGGAGAGCCTCTTCTTGGATTACGTTGCCTTCATTTCGTCTTGCGGTAAGAAACTAACTTAACAACGCTCCGTTCATATATGATTTCAAATTACTTTTGTCCTTACTCATCGAAGCATCTCTTTAAAAAAACATCGATTTCAAACACTTATATTTTATTTTAAATACTCTGTCCGTTTGAAATAATTATGCCGGACGAAGGGAGTATTATATTAAAAATATCTTTTCTATAAGAATGATATACGTATAAATATTTTTTATTTGAAATATTACATTAAAAAAAAAAAGAAAAAAAAAAGAAATTAGGAGTAGATTGATACACTATACTAACTTTATACTGCTACCATATACTATATTTAAAATTTTGGAATCATATATCATACCGAAAATTTAGTATGAATGATATATATACCGTCCTATACCGATAATTTGGTATATTGATATATCAAATATTAAATATCAAAATGATATACAATTATTTTGGTATTTCCGTATATATATAAAATATCAATCTATACACTGTTACCGTAGCAAAAATTGATACTTTCAGTATCTTTTTAATATAGTATGTGCAGTATTTCGACTTTTTAACATCCCTAAACTCAATTCAAATTCCCAAATCTAAGAACACACCCTTGGCCTAATTAATAAGTATTATTTTGTTTTTTTAAGTTTCTATCTATTTTTTTATTATTTAAATTTCATTCTACGCAAAAAAAAATAAAATATTTATATAAGATATTACATTCAAATATAATGCATACCGTAGAAAAACACATCCGCATGTACTCACAATTATCTATAAAAATATATATCATTTTTGTCACAAAATTTATACTTAATCTTTATTTAAACAAAAAATAGAGATACAAATCCACTCAATGTTTCATCTCTTTCACTAAAACCAAAATTTGTTTCACACTTTTGAAGGATCGAAGCAAAATTATCTCCCGACGGTGCCCGCGCCAACACGATGCAGCCGTGACTCAAAGTTCTTCAAACTATGGAAGAAAGCTGCGTGCGGCGCCGTTGAAGACCACCACCACCACAAACTCGATTTATCATCATCAATGGACGCCGCCACCTCCACCGCCACCGCCGCCGCCGGAAACAACCACTACATCCGCGCTCCGACGAGCCGCGGCACCCAACGCCTCTACATCCGTCTCAACACCCTACACCACCTCTCCTCCCAACTCCACTCCCTCGACAAATCCCTCTCCTCATCGCCAAACGTTGCGCCGTTGTCGAAGACGGCCCTTTTAGGCCACCACCGGTCGCGGTCGCAGTCAACGTGTTCTTACTTCGAAAAATCCCTCTCGGCCCTCCAATCGGCCTCCCAACACGTCTCCGAAGTCGCGGCCTATCGCCTCATTTTCCTCGACTCCCACTCCGTCTTCTACGGCGGATTGTACGTCCGAAGCGTATCGCATGCGCGCGTCGCCGCCGTGATCGATAGCCTTAAGCACAACCTAACACTTCTATGCATGATCGTCGTCGAGCGCGCGCAACCCCTCGCGCTCAAAGAAGTGATCAAAGCCGCCTTCGAGGCCTTTGTCCGAGTCCTCGTCACGGGCGGGAGCTCCCGGATGTACTCGCAAATGGATCATCCGATGATCGAGGAGGATCTCGACACCCTAAAGCGACTCTTTTGCATGTGCGGCGAAGGCCTCGTGGTCGAAGACACCGTCGAGAGGGAAGTCGAGGCGGCGCAAGGCGTTGTAGGGCTAATGGGGCAGTCGACCGAGCAACTCATCGAGGATTTCATTAGCGTTACGAATGGAAGTTACGGGATGAACGTCGTAAACCCGAGGCATAAAATTCCGGTACCACCGACCACCGGGAACTGGAACCGGTTCGACCCGAACACCATTCTGAGGGTCCTCTGCAGCCGGAACGATCGAATCGCGAACGATTTTCTCAAGAAAACGCTGCATTTGGCGAAGAGGAGAGCTACGGGATTCAAGATGCTGTAAGGTTATTGCATTTCGTTGGTGAATCGAAATTGTTGTTGGGATTATATGCTGCTGAATGTATGTATGTATGTGTATAATCTCTATAAGTATTATATCTATATATATATATATATATATGAAGGAAGGAAGAAAATATATATAGTGAAGAATGTTGTCTTGTTGCCATGTTTATACGAAGAGAGAATTATGGGAGACTGGTTGTATTGCTGATCAAGTTCATTTATAATCACTCGTATAATCGCAAAATTTGTATTGAAATAGTTGTTAGATGTGATTTTTTTTTTTTTTAATGTAAAAAAAGAAATGCGACTAAATTCTCGGCACCCATTAGGCCTTTGCGCAGTTAATTAGACGATGAAGAAAGTAGTTCACGTGATGTTTTGTACATATAAGTTTAGGACGATATCGTCGGTCCCTATTTTTTCATACATATATGACACAGACAGTTAGACATTGGCAAGATAGACAGGCTGTTCAGTTTTGCTTTTATTTTCAAAATTATTAATTACTTTGTGCTGTCTTTAATTTACTTTTGAGACGTTTGAATAATCGAAACAAAAATTCAGTTGCACCAGAGAGTTTTCAGCCACCTAAACTAGTACACATGAGTGAAACTGCAGCTGGTTTGAGTTCACCTAATAATTCAAATGCTTCGAAGAAGTGTTTCAAGTGCCAGGGTTTTCGGCATATTGCATCAGATTGCCCAAATAGCCGACCATTGCCCTGGTAGAAGAAGATTTCGAGGATGAGTTCAATAGCGTTCAAACAGAAGGTGATAAGGAAGCAATAGCTGATGATGAAACTACTTATGAGGATATTGGTGAATCTCTCGTTATTCTTCGTAATTCAAGTACAACCCAAGTTGAGGATGATTCTTGGAGGTGCAACAGTCTTTTTCACACTAGACATGCCATGGAAAAGTATGTGATGTTATTATTTACGGCGCAAGTTGTGAGAACATCGTGTCCGAAAAAATGGTTGAGAAATTAAGCTTACAAACGGAACCACATCACCGTCCTTATAAGCTTTCTTGGTTGCACAAGGATCATGAGGTTAGGGTCGATAGAAGATGCTTAGTAATTTTTTCCATTGGAAATAATTATAGAGATGAAGTTTGGTGCGATGTGGTGCCCATGGATGCATGTCATTTACTATTTGGGAGACCTTGGCAATATGATACAAGGACGTTACATGCATGACGGGTATGAAAATACTTATATCTTTGTGAAAGATGGGAAGAAGATCATATTGGGTCCGACAAGGATGGAGATTGGTAAGAAATCTGCTGCAAGAAAGGGGGAGTTATCTTCTTTCGAAAAATGAAATAAAAAATTGTTTGAAAAAACAATTAGAAGTGTTTGCTCTTGTTGTACTTGAAGAAAACGAAACAGGGTTGAACATTCCTCCACAAGTTCAGCCATTGCTTCAAGAGTATCATGATGTATTCCCAGACGAGATTTCACATGAGTTACCGCCAATGAGAGATATCTAACATTGCATTGGTTTTATGCCTGGTGCAATGATCCCGAACAAGCCAGCTTACAGGATGAGTCAGAAAGAACACGAAGAACTTCAACGTCAAGTTAATGATCTTTTAAAAAAGGGTGCAATCAGGGAAAGCAAAAGCCCATGTACTGTCCCAGCCCTTCTTGTGCCCAAACAAAATGGAGAGTGGCGAATGTGTGTGGATAGTAGAGCAGTCAACAAGATCACTATCAAGTACCGATTTCTCATACCTCGTCTTGACGATCTTCTAGACCAACTGCATGGGGCAAAATATTTCAGCGAAATTGACTTGAGGCAAGGATATTATCAAATTCGAATGAGGGCTGGAGATGAGTGGAAGACAACCTTCAAGACTAGGGAGGGACTCTACAAGTGGCTCTAGTTATGCCGTTTGGACTCTCCAACGCACCTTCCACTTTTATGCTTTTGATGAATGATGTCTTCAAGGCATTTATTGGAAAGTTTGTCCTTGTTTATTTTGACGACATCCTTGTCTATAGTTTAGACCAAGATCAACATTTGGCACACCTTCGTCGGGTCTTCACGGCATTAAAGCAACAACAGCTCTATGGGAATTTGAAAAAATGTCATTTCTTTTACCACCAGTGTAGTCTTCTTGGGCTACATTGTTTCAAGAGATGTAATTCAAATGGATGACAACAAGGTTGAAGCCATAATGAACTGGCCTGCACCTCGAACACTTCATGAGATCCGAAGCTTTCATGGATTGGCGTCATTTTACCGACGTTTTATAAAAAATTTCAGCACCATTATTGCACCAGTCACTGAGTGCTTAAAAGAGGACAGATTTGAGCGGACAAAAGAAGCGCAAAAAAGCTTTGACCGTTTGAAGGAGAAGGTGACGACAGCTCCTATCTTGTCACTTCCTGACTTTAAAAAAATTTTCCAAGTTGATTGTGATGCATCCAATGTTGGAATTGGTGCTGTTCTTAGCCAAGAAGGAAGGCTAATTGCATTTTTTAGTGAAAAGTTGAATAATTCTCAAAAGAATTACTCCACTTATGACAAAGAATTCTATGCCATTGTTCAAGCTTTGAACCACTGGCATCATTATCTCTATCCACAGGAGTTCATTCTATATTCCGATCATGAAGCCCTGAAATATATCAATTTTCAACAGAAGCTTAATCGTCGACATGCGAAGTGGATTGAATTCCTACAGTCTTTCAATTTTGTGTTAAAACACAAACCAGGTGTGCCTAATCGTGTTGCTGATGCCTTGAGCCGTAAGCAGTCCTTGTTAACAACCTTGCAAGTGTGAAGGAACTCTACAAGGATGATGATCATTTTGGTAAAATTTGGTAAGAGTGTCAGGCTGCTCCATTTCAAGATTTTGTAATGCATGATGGTTTTGTCTTCAAAAGGAATAGACTCTGCGTATCCGAGTGTTCCCTAAAACAGTCCTTGAATGAAGAAGCCCATGAAGGAGGATTTGCTGGACACTTTGGTAGAAACAAGACTAAAATCCTTGTTCAGGAACATTTCTATTGGCCACGGCTTGAACGTGATGTCCAGAATTATGTTGCTAAGTGCCGAGTTTGCCATATTGCCAAATCTCGAGGCCAGAACACTGGTCTATATACACCACTACCAGTTCCTGAATATCCTTGGGAGCATGTGAGCATGGATTTTGATGTTGGACTACAACGAACTCAGAGGGCTAAAGATTTCTATTATGGTAGTTGTCGATCGATTCTCCAAAATGGCGCACTTTGTTTGCTTGTTCTAAAACATTGGATGCTACACATGTAGCTGATCTTTACTTCATTGAGAGATAGTCAGACTGCATGGAATCCCAAAAACCATCACATCTGACCTGGATCCAAAATTTGTGAGTCATTTTTGGCAAACATTATGGCCCAAACTCGGAACTACACTTCAATTTAGTTCTTCACACCACCCTCAAATAGATGGGCAGACTGAAGTTGTCAATAGGAGTTTAGGGAATCTCTTGAGAAGTTTAATCGGTTCAAATATCCGCCCATGGGATCTACTTCTAGCTCAAGCAAAATTTGCATACAACAAGTCGACAAGTCAAACTACAGGAAGAAGTCCATTTGAAGTTGTATATGGGATGAATCCCATTAGTTCTATAGACTTGATCCCACTTCCTGTTACTTCTCAATATAGCAGTGCTGCTGAAGATCATGCTAGCTACTTGAAGAAACTGCATCAGGATGTTCGTGCACGCATTATCAAACAAAATGAAAAGTACCAGATTCAAGCAAACAAACATCGCAGGGCTGTGAACGTCAAAGAAGGTGATCTTGTCTGGATCCACCTTCGAAAAGAAAGATTCCCCCGAGGAAAAAATGCAAAACTCCAGCCGCGAGGTGATGGTCTATTTAAGGTTTTGAAAAAAATTGGAGATAATGCCTACAAGATTCAATTGCTTGATCACTATGGTGTGTCTTCTACTTTTAATGTGTCGGATCTTTCACCATATTTTGACGAAAATACAGCTTTGGACTCGGGTCGAGTCCTCTTCAACCGGGGGAGAATGACACAGACGGTTAAACATTGGCAAGATGGACAGACTGTTCAGTTTTGCTTTTATTTCCAAAATTATTAATTGCTTTGTGTTGCCTTTAATTTACTTTTGAAACGTTTGAATAATCGAGGCGAATTTAAACCTCTAACTTGGGAACAGTTTGCTTTCTGTTTTTTCTTTTGTGCTCGAAGAGTTTAGAGTTTTCTACCGGCGAGGTGATTGGATATTGTTCCTAATGAAAGATTTTCTTCTTCTAACTCTTATCTCTTGGGTGGATGGCTAGTTATATTTCTTCTAATCTCATCTTTAACCCAATCAACTCTATTTATCCAGTTTTCAGTTTTAACTCATTAAATTGCTACAGTAATTTTACTTGAATCATAACTCAATTTTTCACTATTATTCTTCAAATATTTAATTTTTCCTATTATTTTAAACAACCTTTTATTTTTATAATTTAAAATAATTTTTTTCAAAATTTTAAAAAATATAAAGTAAATTTAAAAATTAAAATAAAAAATTAAAAAAAAAAAAGAGTTACTACAGTGCAACACCAAAATTGGCGTTGCACTGTAGTAACGCCAATTTTTGAGGCAGGACAACCAACGTCAAATCTACTGACCCAGTACCATTAATGGCTCTAGGTTAAAGATGGCCTAAAAGCGCAAATTATTCTTTTGTTTTAATTTGTTTTCTACTAAATTGCATTATTTGGCAATTGTTGATGTCAATATATGTATGGAAACAATAAAATGTCTAGTTAAAAAAAAAGTTTGACAATATTTTGCTTTCCGCATAACACGAGATATCATCTACACAATACACATGAAAACATCATTTGTAGCACATTTTTTAAAAACAAAATTGCAAAATGCCACATGAGAAAAAGACAAAAAGACTAAAAAACACAAAAAAGAGATCTACATATATATATATACAAAAATTTACATATAAATATACATATATACATATTGAATGCGTT